ATGTTCAGACGACTACAGGAGAGAGAACGATTTAAGAATGAGAAGAAAGAGAGAGAGCCATCTCTCCACAAAGGCCATAAATTTTGCAGAGGTTCAGAGGTGAGACAGAAGCAGTCATGATGCCTATTAGTCGTGTAGCCAACAAGGTCAAAACCAGTCAAACCCTTTGAAAGTGATTTCACAACAAAGAGACAAATTCAGAATGCCCAGAAGCTGGACTGAAGCCAAGACCTCTCTTCTTTCGATTCAATTAATTTTTAAATGGTCCCCACTGTTCTCCAGCAAAATGTAAGCCCCCACAGTTTGTGGTAGTAGATGTGGTAGTAGTTGGCTTGGGAGTTCAAAACTGGCCACATTTACCACCTGTGCACCTAGCAAATCACTTAACTTCTCTTATGTACAAGATAGGGATGTAAATATCCATAGTACCTACCTTAGGAGCTTTCTGTGTGGCTCAAAGATGGATCTTAAAAATGACTCGCACGTTGCTTTTTTATTACTGAGATCCAGAATCGTTTTCCATTTTGTTTTTGCATGCTCAGAACGTAGTGTGATGCCTTGAACTTGGTAGATTCTTAATAAATGCTTGTGGAATTAAATGGAGCCAAAGTTATTTTTGGATCATCTACTGTGTGTTCTGCTCTTTTCCGGGCACTGTAGGGTAAAAGAGAAATACATGACAGAATCCCTGTAAGTCAACAAATGATTTTAGTAACTGAACTAGAAATCCCTAAAATGAAAGTCATGGTTATTTCTCATTTATTGAATGTCCCTCAGGTTTTCAGGAAAAGGCAATAATAATACAGTGGTGTCTGATAAAAAAAAAAAGATAATATTGCCATTTAATGAAAGGAAGCTATGCAGCGGTGTGATTGTATAGTTAAAAATACAGTGATGCATGAGGAAAAAATCTACTGCTTGTTAGTAATATGATGTGTCAGATTTACCATCTGATTATGTTAGACATAAAAGGTTATCATCAAGCTCAGTTTGATTTGAGGTCAACTTTGTTAATTTTCATTTTCCTGCGGCTGTGACCCGTAGGATTTGAGAGGGGAAGTTAGAATCAACAAGAAATGAAGATCTCTTGGGACTTTGTTTTACTGATGCATGTAATCAGTTCTTTGAAATATGAGAGTTTTAAAGGGCTGAAGTGATTCATGTGGGTTTTCAAACCTGGTACAACCATAATCATTATTGGATGTCAATAATAGCTTTTATTTATATAGTGTTTTGCAGATGAAAAAAGAGATGGAAATGAATGACCTTTCCAAGGTCATGTAACTATTAAGTTGGCAAGTCAAAATTCATACTGACTCTAAGTTCAGGGCTACTTCCAGTTCAAAGATTTCCATAGAATTTTGCATTGTGCAGAACCCCAGCTACATCTAGTCCAATGTTTGTATTTTGTGGATGAGGAAAGCAAGGCCCAACAAGACTAAATGCTCTGTTGCCCAAGAGACTTACCTAAGATCATTCAGCTAATAGATAGCCATAATGAGCTTAGAATCCACACCTCCTAGCTCCAAATCAAATACTGTTTCCTCCATAGCATGATATGATTGCTTGCAAAACTGCTCTCACTGCCAGGGTCCAACGCTAGCTTTTTCACACTTCATTTCCTAACAAGGCTTCAGTGGAATAAGGGAAAGTTTTGTTGTTGTATTTCAGTGTAAGGAATTAGCCTGAATATTTTCCCCATTCCCTGATCCTTAAATCCAGGTAAAATCATAGGACCATAGGAATTAGAATTGAAAAGAACCTCCACGATCATTTAATCCCACCCTCTTCTTTTACAAATTAGGAAACTGAGGGCTCAGAAAGGTCAGTGGCTTGCTCAGGTCACTTGTCCAAGTGATAGAGCTGGGATTTTAAACTAGGTTCTCTGAGTCTAGCTCTATCATTCATTCTTCTGTATCATTCTTCCTGACTTGCTTGAAAGAATAGAGTGAAGATCTCTGACTGTCAATAACTTTTACAGGGCCCAAGGCGAATTCAGCACATCAATCAATCAATTAATCAGAAAACATGTATTGAGTTTTGTATGTGCTAGGCGCTGTGCAATGTGATGAGGATACAAAGAAAAGCAAAAACAGTTCCTGTCCTCAAAGAGCTTGCATACTAATAGGGAAAACAAACATAGAAATTAAAAGTTACATATCAGATTAGAAGGAAAGGAAGCCTAGAAAAGAAATCTCAAATGTTTAGGGGAATTGGAAAGCATCCTGCAGAAGGTAACAGTTGAGCTGTGTCATAAAGGAATCCAGGACTCTCCAGAGTTGATATTGAGGAGAGAGAATATTCAAAAGATGGGGAAAGGCCAGTGCAAAAGCATGAGGATGAAGATGGGCTGGATATATACACCTGGGAATCCTTACTTGTATAAAGATTATTGAACCCATGGGAGCTGGTGAGAGCACCAAAGGAGGCTGAATAGAAAAATGAAGAGAGCCTTGGACAGAGCCTTGAGGAACAACCATAGTTAGGGGACTTGACAAGGCTGAAGGTCCAGCAAAACAGACTGAGAAAGACTAGTTAAATGAGTAGGAGAACAAAGAGAGAACAATGCCATCAAAACCCAGAGAGCAAGAGTGTTCAGTAGGAGATGTTCATCTCCATCAACTGCTGCTTAGAGTTAACAAGGTTGAGGACTGAGGAAGAGCTATTAGATTCGGAATTGGCAACTTTGGAGAGACCATTTTCAATTGAATTATGAGGTTAGAAGCCAGATTATAATGGGTTTAGAAAAGTGGAAGTAAAATCATTGATCATCGATGACTTTTTCAAGTTTAGTAGAGAAATGAAGGAGAGATATAGACCAATAGCTAATGGAGATTGTAGGATGAGATGAGAGCTTTTTAAGAATATGGAAAACTTGAGGGTGTTTATAGACAAGAGTAGAGAGAGAATGAGGATGACAGAAAAAGCAATCTTCTGAAGAAAACAGAAAGGAACGTTATCAAGCATGTGTGAGGCTTCATCAGAGACTGGAGTATGATGTCAGAGGGATGTGAGATGAGGAAAAAGGGAGAAGAGAGTGTTCTCAGCAAATGGCCCTAATTTTTTTCAGTGAAGTATGAGGTTCCCAGTTAAAAGAAATGGGGAAGGGATCCTGTGAAAGGCTTGAGGAATGATGAAAATGTTCAAAACAGACATTATGATGTATGGCATAGACAATCAATTAGAAAGGAGCAGGATTTCCTTTATGCCATGAGTTTCCAGAGGAGACTAGATAACATAAATATTTAATGTACCCAATCAGCATGGTTTTGTGACTCTCACTCTATTCAGCAACACGTGAATAGGAACAAAGAAGATGGATGACAGAAGTAATACAGGATTGAGATTTAGCATTGTATGACAACGAGTCAAGTGAATTGGGGAAAGAGAATAGAATCAATTGTCTAAGAGGCTGGTTGAAACTAGTAAGAGAATAAAGGATGGCCCCTAGGGAAGTATTGAGGGGTGGATGTCCCAGAGAGGATGAAGAACAGTGTTTAGGATCTCAAGGCATGGGAAGATATGGAATGATAAAAGATTATTATCAGATAAAGAAATTTTGGAGTTCATTGACATGGAAGTGGAACATTTGTGGGTGACAGCAAGAACAAACACATGACCATCTCTGTATGTAGCTGAGGTGGAATGAAGGAATCAGTCAAGGAAATTGAGTGGATTGAAGAATGGGGAAATCAGAATATTTGAGAAAACATCAATTTCTATGTTGAAGTCCCCCCGTATGATGGCAGAAGTCAGGTTATAGAGAAGGACAGGCACTGATATCCCACCAGGAATTGACTTGGAAGTAAATTTATATAAGCACAAACTTCAAAGGAATAGTGATAGAGGGAGAATCTGGAATGGGAAGCAACAAATATTCTAACTCCTCTAGTACAACCTAAAGTGGAAGAGAGAGGCAGTTGGTACAAGAGAAACCCAATCTTGCTGTGTCCCCAGATCTGAATTAACTCCGTCATTGTGAGGAAAGCAGAAATGTAAAGGGTCATCTCTCTGGTCAGAGAATTTACAATCTAGGAGAAAAAGACATTCAGTTCAACAATTCAAGATGTTTATTAAGGGTTTACAGTCTTCAGAGCACTGTACCATGCTGTGGGGGAGAAACCAAGATAATAAGATATAGCCCCAGCCCTCATGGAACTTATAGTCTAATAAGGACATAAAGATACAATCATAGATAACTGTAATACACAATAACACATGATTTGTTCATCAGAGAAGTGCATGACAAAATGTTATGTGAGGTCTGAGGGAGGAAGATTGTTTCCAACCAGAAAGCTTTATGGAGAGGGTTGAGTTAGCTTTTAAAAGATGAGTGAGAATTCACCAAGTAAATCAGATGGAGGGAGATATAGGGAAAAGCATACACATGGGGTGTATAGACGGGAGGGCACATGGAATATTTGGTGGAGTGAAGTCTAGTTTGGCTAAAGTATACAATGTTGGGAAGGAGTATACATGATTACCAGAAAGTAGGGTGGAGCCCAGTGGTAGAAGGCTTTGATCTTGCAAAATATTAAATGGAATTCAGTAAAAATTGGAGATCAAGTGAACTGGGTTGGGGGCGGGGGCAGAGAAAGCTTACTCTAGCATAAGACAAGCTGAACTTGGAGAATGAGCAAGATTTGTACCAGCATCAACATGACATTTTGAAAATGATGATTTCCAAATAATAAAGTACCTAATCAAAGGAGCTTAGTGAAATGTTTTGAGAATTTTGGAGTGGAGACAGTCTTCACCATATTTTTGAGTTGAAAAATGAAAATCTGAAATGCTATGTCCACAAGATGGCCAACTACCAGTTTGACTAATTTGTCTTTTCACTGATTTTCATGCTCTAGCTTTTCCATTAAATCGATAACTTGGTATCACATAGACACAACCTAATTCAAAATCTTGCCGGGATGGTAGGAAAAGAAACAGGCTCATTTGTTTCATCTCATTGGTTCCTCTTTGGATCAAGTTGTGATGTTTCTTTTCAGGACAAGGCTCCTTGGATCCCCTATCTGAGCATTTTCTGTATCCTGAGCATAATTGCCTCATTCTGCAGTGGGCCAGGTAAGGGACTTTTCCTTTCCTATAATAAACTCTGGTTGTTCAACACCTAGCCCCAGAGTTCATAGAAGCATGGAACATTCCACATCTAAGACATGCAAGGCCCTGTATTGAGTCCTAGGGATGCAATGATAAAAATGTTAAGAATTTCCTGACCTCAAGGAATTTGTGGTCAACTGGGAGGATACAGGATGTACACAGATAGGTCAACATAAGATCAGTTGAGGTGGAAAGATCACTAACACCTGGAAAGATCACGGAAGACTTTGCTTGAGATCCTGGGTTCTTTTAAAAATGTATTCCATTAAAAAATATAAAAAATGTATTCAATTATTCATCTATACAAGCATTTAATATCTCTCCCTCTTACTACCTCCGTAATTTAACAATATAATAAAAGAAAACCCTCATAACAAATATGTATAGTCCAGTAAAGCAAATTTCCACATTGGCCATGTCCAAAAACATATGTCTCATTCTTTATTTTAAGTCCATCACTTTCCTGTCAGGAGGTCAATGCAATGTTTCATTTTCAGTCCTCTGAACTCATAGTTGGCCATTACATCGATTAGAGTTCTAGTCTTTTGAAGTAATTTTTCTTTATGATATTATTGTCATTGTATAATTTATTCTCCTTGTTCTACTTATTTAATTTGCATTTGTTCATAGAGTTCTTCCCAGTTTCCTCAGAAACTGTTCATTTCATCATTTCTCATAACACAAAAATATTGCACTATTTGCCAGTAAGTGGATACACCTTTAGTTTCCGGTTTGGGGCAACTACAAAAAGACCTGCTATCAATATTTTTGTACAACTATGTCCTTTGATCTCTTTGAGTAGGAGTAGGAGTATCACTGGGTCAAAGAATATACACAATTTTTTTTAACTTTTGAGGGATGTCTAAATTGTTTTCTGGAATAGCTGGACCAATTCACCAACAGTGTATCAGCATGCCTACTTTCCTCCAGCTTCTTTAACATCTGTCATTCTCTTCTTGTGTCCTTTTAGCCAATCTGATGAGTGTGAGGTAAAATCTAAGAGTTGCTTTAATTTGTATTTCTCTAATAATTATTTGGAGCATTTTTTCATATGGTTGTTGATAGTTTGGTAAAGTATTGAGGGATAGATGTCCCAGTGAGGATGAAGAACAGTGTTTGGGGGGGGGCAGAGCCAAGATGGCAGAGTGAAAGCAGTGACTTGCTTGAGCTCTCCCCCCAAACCCTTTCAAATACCTATAAAAAATGGCTCTAAACAAATTCTAAAGCAGCAGAACCCACAAAAAGACAGAGTGAAGCAAATTTCCAGCCCAAGACAACCTGGATGGTTGATTGGAAAGGTATATCGTGCCACGTGGGTAGAGGAGTGCAGTGAGGCATGGGCACGCATGCCACAGAGAACCTGGAGCAGGCCTCAGAGGACTGAATTGTGGGCAGCTGTGGTGGTTTCCAGACTTCTCAACCCAAGAAAGCCAAAGACAACTTGGAAAGTCAGTGGGAAAAATCTGTTTCTGCGGTGAGAGAGGAGCTAGGTCTCAGAGCCAGTTCCAGAGCACAGAGCGAGGGCACCGGGATGATGGCTGCATCCTGAGCTTCCGGCCCACAGACTGAGGGGGTATCAAGTGGTTGATCAGAGGAGGATTTCAGGGATCTCTTTGCCAGTGCTGAGGCAGGAATTTCTTGCTTTGCCCATGCTTGAATCTAGGTCACAGTTCTGGTTGGCAGTCCTGGGGTGAGGAGGAGTGCTGGCATGGTGCAGCTTGTAGCGGCTGTGCAGAGGAAACCTCCCTCACAGTTCCAGGACAGAAAGGAGTGCTTGTGGTCACTAATAGACCATAGCACAGACCAGGAAAGGAGTAAACACCTCACCCCTTATCATACCACCTTGCAAGAACTGAAAATTTACAGGTCCCTACAAGTATCTCTGAAAACAGCTGTACAACCCTGAAGCTTGAGACAATACATTCTCCACATTAGAGACTCTTACCTTAACAAAGAGTTTAAAACTCAAGTAATTCGCTGGGATCATGAGCAAGCAGCACAAAAAGAGTCAGGCTATATTATCTCACTTTGGTGACAAAGAAGATCAAAACATACAACCAGAAGAAGACAACAAAGTCAAAGCTCCTACATCCAAAGCCTCCAAGAAAAATATGAATCAGTCCCACGCCTTGGAAGAGCTCAAAAGGGATTTTGAGAAGCAAGTAAGAGAAGTAGAGGAAAAACTGGGAAGAGAAGTGAGAGTGATGCAAGAAAATCATGAAAAATAAGTCAACAGCTTGCTAAAGGAGACCCAAAAAAATACTGAAGAGAATAACACCTTAAAAAATAACCTAACCCAAATGGCAAAAGAGGTCCAAAAAGCCAATGAGGAAAAAAAATGCCCTAAAAAGAAAAATTGGCCAAATGGAAAAGGAAGTCCAAAAGATTACTGAAGAAAATACTTCCTTAAAAATTAGAATAGAGCAATTGGAAGCTAGTGACTTTATGAGAAATCAAGACACTGTAAAACAAATCCAAAAGAATGAAAAAATAGAAAACGATGTGAAATATCTCATTGGAAAAACAACTGACCTGGAAAATAGATCCAGGAGAGAAAATTTAAAAATTATTGGACTATCATGATCAAAAAAAGAGCCTAGACATCATCTTTCAAGAAATTATCAAGGAAAACTGCCCTGATATTTTAGAACCAGAGGGCAAAATAGAAAGTGAAAGAATCTACTGATCTCCTCCTGAAAGGGATTCCCAAAAGAAAGATAATAAAAAAATTTAAAAAAAAGAAGTGCTTGGGATCTAAAGGCATAGGAAAATATAGAATGATAAAAAAATTTTTATCAGATAAAGGAATTTTGGAGTTCATTCTTTCTTTTAAAATTACCTGTTCATATTCTCTGACCATTTGTCCAGTGAAGAATGGCTTGAATTCTTGTAATTTCTAAGCAGTTCTTTATGTAATTTGGATATGAGACTATTGTCAGAGAAACTTTCTACAAAGATTTTTCCCAGTTGCCTCTTTCCCTTCTCATGTAAACTATATTCAATTTGTTTATGAAAAAATCTTCAATTTAATATACACAGAATTGTCCATTTAATCTTCCATGATCCTATCAATCACTTACCTAGTCATGAACTCTCTCTTCTCCATAGGTCTAAAAGCTTATTTCCTCCTTGGTCCCCTAATGTCACTTTTTAGGTCTGAATCATGTATCCATTTGGAATTTATCTTGGTGACTCTGGATTCTCAAAGGCATTTTATCTGTGAAGTAGAAGTTATGGCGGCTTCTACCAATCTGGGAAAGCTTCATGTATGGGTCAGATAAAGGGACTGGGTATGTGTCATCCCAAGTTCAGGTACCTGTAGGTTTTCTCATCATCAAAAGTTCAACCATGAGGGGATAAATTATTTTCAGACTTAGCAACTCATGAAGACCATCTATAAGGATACCAGGCAACTGTAATGTACATTACCTTTGCACATATTTGTATAGTCTTACGTGTATATGTGTCTTCCCCAGAAGAGCATGGGAGCTTTCCCTTAAGGAACTGAGGGCAGGAAATGTTTCATTTTTGTCTTTTTATCTATAGTTTTTGATACAGTGCCTTGCATTTAGTAGATATTTGTTGACTGATTAGTGGAAGGGATGCTGCACTGACTAAAAACCACCCATCCACACCCACACCCACCCACCCACACCACACACACACACACACACACACACACACACACACACACACACACACATACATTATTGAAGTATTGAAATACTGAAGTCTTTCCTTTCTCCTGTTTCTATATCCTGGCAACCACCAACTTTGCCCACCCTTAGTTTCAGTTTGAGTTCTAATTCCTGTATAATACTCATTTTAAAAAAAAACTATATTCCTAGGGGCAGCTAGGTGGCACAGTGGATAGAGCACTGGCCCTGGATTCAGGAGAGCCTCAGTTCAAATCTGGCCTCAGACACATAACACTTACTAGCTGTGTGACCCTGGGCAAGTCTCTTAACCCCATTGCCTAGCCAAAAAAAAAAAAAGAGGGACTATATTCCATATAAAAGTATAGAATGAAAACCTACCAACTAGTCTCCTCCTAGCAAATCTTTCCCTCAGTCTCCTTAATCACATTTTTCTTCTGCATTTGACTCCAGGCCTTTCTTCCTATTCCACATGTGCTAATGTCCTTGTGCAAAGGTGGAACTATTTATAATAAGCAGGATTCTGTCATTGTGAAGCCAAGCTGTGGCCCCAGCAGATTTCCACTACAAAAAGGCAATACCTTTTTTAAACATCCCTTACTACTTGTGGGATGCACCAGGCATCTAAGAAAAACTGGCCACTACTGTGCCAGGGCTATCTTTCTAAAACACAATTTTTGCAAGGGTTAAGGGTCTCAGGTTCTAGTTCCAGCTCTTCCATGAATTCAATGTGGGACTTTGGGCAAATGACTTGGATCCATAAAATGAGGCTTTGGGACTAGTTAAGGTAGGTGGCCTTGGGCAGTTTGAAAACCCTAAGTTCAATGTTCTAAGATGTTTTGCAAGTCTCCATTTCTTCTGAAGTCCCATTCATCATTTCATTCTGTGTCCTGCACTCTCAGGTCCCTGTCAGCTCAGACATTTCATGCTGTAATAGCTAGTCCTGCCCTAATATTCTGTGACTTACTACCATTCCATTTTTTTTATTCTCTAAGATACTTTCTGCAAAGCATCATATTCGATCAGATAATCAAACAACATTAATTAGTCACCTCCTTTGTTCCAGGCACTGTGCTGCATACTAGGGATTAAAAGACAAAGAAAGAAATAATCACTCTTCCCAAGGAGCTTACATTCTGATGAGGGAGACACACACACACACACACACACACATATATATATATATACATATAAATATATCTCTCTATATCTATATATCTATAGATATATAGATATATAGATATATATAGAGAGAGAGAGAGAAACAAATACAAGATGTTAGGGGGAGAGAGTGCTAGCAGTTAAGGA